AATTGTTTATTAGAAGAGGTCATTGGTCTGTATTCCAGTATCTTTTTGGTCCATTCCTCCCCAATTATATTAGATACATGTTCGAAAAAATTGATCTTGGTATAATAAGAAGTGTATTTAGACACAAAATAATAACTATCATGAAATTAATTAATTTATAAGTTAAATTTTTTTAAATACGCCATTTCCTTGGCTATTCACAGTGCAAAGCATTCTCACACTTGTTCTTCATACAACAGTGACCTCTGATAGGTATCCACACTGTGAAATCTAGAACATACTCTTCCTAAGAAGCAGAAAGGATCATGTGGTCAGCCTCTAGTACAATTCTGAAATGGATTTCCATGTTTGTTGGTGGTGTCATTTCTTTCTGCAAGGCCTTCTGTCTTTTTCCCACAACTGACCCATGGTCTAATGACATCAAACTCTTCCTTCAGAAAAGAAAATGGGCTGGAATCTTTAACCACAGTTAAAGATCTCGCCTCTCAGGATAATTTGAAGAGGAAAGTCAAAGGAATCATAAAAGTAACCAGCCTGTTATGGGAAACTGGAGATTACTGCGCAAGACAGTTTTCCCTAGGGAGGTTTCCTATAGTTACACAAACCAAAAGGTGACTTATCAATCAAGGTTATTGTCTCCCCACAGGAATGGTTGGGACTTTTACCAATCAGCATTTTGTGAAAGAATGAGCACTCAAGTCAGGCTTAATGTCTTGGATGTAAAATTTTATTGTCCAAACTTTAGCTTTCTTATCTATAAATGGAGATAATAGCCCCTTCCTGGGCTTGCAATGAGGATTAGCGACTGGCATGCTATCTTCCATGTATGTTAGTGCCTTGCTGCCTCTTCCTTTGAGGGAGCTTGCTAGATGGTTGCAGAATTTGAATTTTGCAGAAGACTAGACAAAAACGCCGCTAGCCTTCTCAGTTTGGGGGCGATATAGATGAACAACTCTTCCCTCAAGATCATTCCCTAGAAATATTTCCGAGTCAGGACCTCTGCCTAGCTGTTTCATGCCCATGGGTACAGAGCCTTTCCTTGTGATGTGTTGTATGGGAGATGGCCACACAGGCTCTTCATATGCTTCTGTTGACGTTCTTCCTGAGTTGTAAAGTCACTAGCTATAGTTAACGGTCGACTTAGTTTGTTGTTTCTGCTGCACGGTCAGTGGAAGGCTAGTTCCTGAATTTGAGTCAGTTAATGTCATGGCCTCATGCAGCAGATGTCTGACATCCCTGAAAAACAGCACCGTCTTAACCACTGGAGCAGAATGAAGATGTCTCACTGTTGGTCCCATCAGCCATCATTTTTTGTCTTTCCTTGAATTTTCAGGAAAGTTTCTAAAACAAGAAATAATCCTTATCAGTGGGCTGGGGAGATATTTAGGTTGGCTAAGGTTTTGCTGCATGACCATGAAGAGCTGAATATGGATCCCCTTAAACCCACCAGAAATTTCAGACATAGTGAGTACCTATGGGCTCAGTACCGGGGAGGAACCAAACAAGGATTCCTAGGGCTTGCTGCTGCCTGCAAGTCTAGCTGAATCAGCATACTCCATCTTCAATGAGGTTGTCTCACAAAATATAGCTTAGAGTGATTGAAAAGGATCTTGACTGTGGGCCTCTGGTCTCCACACATATGTAAACACACCTTTACATACATATGCATGCACACAAACATATACACATGAACACAGACAAGAAATAGAACAATAAACACTCTCCCATCACATTGAGGCAGAATTCTGTGATCACAAAAAACAATCCTGTGGTTGATATATTGTGCACCCCAATAAACTTATCTGGGGGTCAGAGACAGAACAGCCCCTATATTAAACATAGGTTTAGGCAGTGGTAGCACATGCCTTTAATCCTAGCATTCAGGAGGCAGCGATCCATCTGGATCTCTGTGAGTTCAAAGCCACACTGGACACAGCCAGGCATGGTGACCCAAGCCTTTAATCCCAGGAAATGATGGCAGGAAGCAGAGAGGTATATAAGGCATGAGGACCAGGAACTAGAAGCTTTTTAATCTTTTAGGCTTTTGAGCAGCATTTCAGCTGAGATCCATTTGGGTGAGGGTACAGAAGCTTTCAGTCTGAGGAAACAAGATCAGCTGAGGAATTGGGGAGGTGAGGTTGGCTGTGGCTTGTTTTGTTTCTCTGATCTTTCAGCGTTTAGCCCAATATCTGGCTCCCAGGTTTGTTTTTATTAATTAAGACCTTTTAAGATTCATGCTACACAATCCAACGAATAAAGACTTCTCAAAGCGAATCAAACCCTAGTTTAATTTTGGTCATAAATATTTGCTTTGAAGTTATTCATGATTTTTGTCATCTAAAACTCTGACCAAAAGTCACAATTTGAGGACTGTAATGCCACTATACTTTGTGGGTTACAGTGAGATGCTTTGCTTATATGACCTTTTTAATATTCTGTTATTTGCTTGACTGATCCTTGAGATCTTTTGTGTTTACAGAATTACTGTTTATAGTACACAAACAGAATGAATGAACACACCAAACTCTACAGAAGAAACTTCTAAGTGGGGGAACTGCCCTCAACTATCTGTCAGGAACATGAGGTCATTGTCCTCTTCTCTCTTGTTAAACAGCTGGAATTGAAGTTCTGGAGCACAGTCTAAGAATCGGAAGTACTGGTCACATGAGAAAGACCCTGAGAAGAGTTTACAGGGCAGGGCACTGCATGTGTGATGGAGGCCTTTCCCTACCTTTCAGCATCACATCCAACTGTCAAAATCCCTGAAGCCTGAGACTTCTGACTTTGCATCAATTTAAGTATATGTCACAAAAATATTTAACATTTATTGAGGTGTTTTCTATACCAGGCAAAAGGTTGAGTCTACAACACAGGTCATGTTATTCTCCTAATAATTTGTTGAGGTGGATTCTATTACATAGAAGGATTTTTTTTTTTTTAAAGACGGGGTTTCTCTGTGTGGCCTTGGCTGTCCTGAAAATCATCCTGTAGACCAGGCTAGTCCCAAACTCAGTGATCTCCCTGCTTTTGTCTCCCAAGTACTGGGATTAAAGGCATGTACCACCATGCCCAGCTTACATGTGAACAATTTAAAAGTCACTGAAGTTAGGTCACTAAACGGTAAAGCTGGAATTTTAACCCTGTTTATCTGACACCACTCTCCAAGGTCATCATCAAAATGTCCCATTCTAAGCCAGGTGGTGGTGGCGGCGGCGCACGCCTTTAATCCCAGCACTCGGGAGGCAGAGCCAGGCGGATCTCTGTGAATTCGAGGCCAGCCTGGGCTACCAAGTGAGTCCCAGGGAAAAAAAAAATGTCCCATTCTGATTTCCTAAGAGTCTAAGCATCTGACAGCCCTGTCGCTGACTCTCTGGATCCATCACTGTGTTTATACTCTGTGCTGCTGCAGCCAGGGGCCCATTCATTCCTGTGGGATGCAGACTCTTCTAACACATGATGTTGCATAGGGAACTTCCTAGCATTTTGTCCAGTTTTTCTTAAAACCATGCTACAATTTGAGGTTCTTATACAATTCTACTTTGCTGCTCTTACACAAGAGTCCTGGCCTAAAGGTTCCCTTTGACTATTCCTGATATCTTCCCTTTCTACTTTAAAGTGCTTCCCTTCAACATATTTCTTGTACATCTGAGAGTGTGTTAGCATCGGCTTCTTGGAAAGTCCAGAGACTATGCCATCCATGCTTTGTTTTGGAGATGAGCATAAAACTTTAGCCTTGTCTACTCATGCAAGAGCTAAGTGGGGACTGCTAGAGACATTTTGGATTGGCGTCCTAGTTCCGCTTCCATTTCTGTGATAACATACTGACCCAAAGCAACTTAGGGGGGAAAGGGTTTATTGGAGCTTGTCATTCCAGGTTACAGTCCATCTCTCGGGAAGTAGAGTGGCAGGAGCTTGAAGCAGCTAGTCACATCATATCTCCTGCCAAGACTAAAGAGAAAGGAGTTCGTACAGACTTAGTGCTCAGCTGTTTATTTCTGGACTTACACTGTCCAGGACCCCAAATCCAGAAATGGTGCCCCTGCTTTCAGGCTGGGTCTTCCCAAATTAATTAAGGCAATCAAGACAATCTTTCACATGCTCACTTCTTGCTTGCTTGTACTCAGCTTGATTTCTATACTCATACAGTTGAGGGTTCCCTGTCTAGGGAATGATGCCACCCACAGTGGGCTGGGTTTCCCACATCAATCAACTTAATTAGGATAATCCCATACAGACATACTTATAGACCAATCCACTGTAAATTATCCTTCATTGAGACCCTTTACCCAGGTGATTCTGGGTTGTATCAAGTTACAAGGCTAACGGTGACAAACTTAAACATCAGTCATCATTCACGTGTGAGCAATTCTACTACTGCCTCTCTTGTTGTTATTGCTTATTCTGCCATTGTTATTCTGTTTTCTACATGTGAACACCTGTGCTAAATCACATATGCAATTCTACTAATATAATTAATTAGCAGTATTTTTTATCATAAGAAGAGTTAAAATTTTAAAAGGTTCAACTTTTAAACTGGAGTTCAACAAAAATAGAAAATATTGCTTAATATTCAAGAGCTGAACTGAGAGTCTTAAAAGGGATTCTGAGCCATGGGAGAACCAAAACAGTGTGGCCTAGAGAAGGATATATCCAACATAAGTTATTTTTTTTAAAGTTATGATTGAAGTAAGAAGACAGGAAATAGGTTCAGTTTTCTCTTTAATGCACTGTTTCTTATTAAAAATATATGACTTCCTGCAGGAGTTTGTCTTTAATGCTGATTCCACTCAGCCACCTCACCTTAACTTTTGAAAAATTAATTTATTCTTTGACAATTTCACATATGTGTATAATACATTCTGTTCGCATTTATCCCTCTATCTTTTCTTATTTAAATTTTTAATTTTTTGAGAATGTCATGCATGAATATTATATTTATATCATCTCCACCCCCCCCTTTTCCTGTTCCAACTGGTCTCAAGTCCCCCCCACCCCTTCTTAACTTCATGACCTCTTTTCTTCAGTTACTATTGTTTCACATATTCATTTATACACACACACATATTGTCTTAGTCACTGTTCTATTGCTGAGATAACATGATTAAGGCAACTATTATAAGAGAAAGCATTTAATTGGGGGCTTGCTTACAGTTTCAAAGGTTTAGTCCATTATCATCATGGCAGGAAGCATGGTGGCATGCAGGCACATTCTGGGGCAGCAGCTGATGACTTTATCCTTATCTGTAGGCAGAGAAAGAGACTTTGTGTTTGGCATGGGCTTTTGAAACCTCAAGTTCCCTTCTTGTTAAACGTTTTTTTCCACCAGGGCCCCCCTTTTTACCCTTTTTATTCTTTTCAATTGTGGCCTTTCCTTGGGGCTTCGGCTTTCAGTTCCTTGATTTTTTGGGGTCCTTTTTATTCACACCATTGCATTCCTTGGGTTGGGTCCCATAAGCTTGTAGCCCCGTATCATAATGCAAAAATGTATTCAGTTCAATTTCAAAAGTCCCCACAGTCTATCACAGTCACAACATTGTTTAAAAGTCCAAAGTTCAGAGACTCTTCTGAGACTCAAGGTAATCTCTTAACTGTGACTGTTAGCATTCAGACCCACCCCTGGTCTGCCGAGTGCCCTGGCAATGTCATCTTACATAAAGTCTTCTTTAAGAGAAAACTTCTCCCCCTTCTCTCTTCCTTCCTCTCTCGCCATGAGGTAGCATGTGCCTCTCCTTTCCTTTTCTCTTTCTTTTTTTCTTCTCCTCTCCTCAGACCCTGCCCATTTTATCTTTCTCCCCACTCCCTTCCCTCCCTCCCCCCACTTTCCCCTTAATAAAACTTTCCTCGAGGGTGCCAAGTCTGCATGGTGTGAGTGACTTTCCGCCCGTGCCCCCTTGGGTGCTGCCCACCGTGTTTGGATGGCCTGTATCCCTCACCCACCTTAGGGCACCAGGATCCACCTACCAAGGCCTGTCTCTCACTGTTTTATTAAATTGGTGCTGTGCTTGTGCCCGGCAGAGGCCCTCCTGGCACTTTCTCCTGCCTGCTGGCAGTCTGAGACACACTAGGACCACTGGAACCTTCAACAATCACTTCATCCAACATAGGAATAACCAATAAGCCCCCACTTCTGGCCATTTCGCGCAGATAAGGACTTATCTCCTCTTGATCATGGTTTCTCATGAAGTCCTGGTACTGGGCAAACAAGTGTCCCTTGGGCTTAGCTGCCCTTTGGCCCCTGCTCTTTGTTTGATGAAACATTGCAGCACCTTGTGCCACCTAGTCTCTCAGACCTCAGCATCCTTTGTGTCCCTGCCCTGGGTCTGATAACACTCAGCAGTTTGCGCCCTAATTAATTCTGCCTCAGTCGTGGGAAATAAACCTTCTGCCAGCAATCCAGTAGAATCAAGGATTCTTGGGCTATGCACTCCCGTCTCTCTCTCTCTCTCTCTCTCTCTCTCTCTCTCTCTCTCTCTCTCTCTCCTCCCTCCCCTCCCCTCCTTCCCTCCCTCCTGCCTACTGTTGCTGACACCAATGCATTGGTCTCCCATCGCTGCCTCCCACCCTGTCTTGCTTTCGCTCAAACTGTCTCACTCTTCTGTTCTGTCTCTGTCTGCCCCCTTACTCCTGTGGCCACTGTTGATTCGCTTTCTCACTCCTGCGGCCATCACTACCACCAGCACTGGGACTGGCAATGCCTGCTGCCTATATTGGGCTGCCCCATATGAGCAGTGTCCAGGGCCACTGCCTCCACCACTTTGGCATAAAACGTCTTTCATTCCTATGGTTTCTTTCTGTCAAAAAAAAGCCCATTTCCTATGTGCAGATGGCCACGTATGTGGACATGTGACTGTGTTCCTGACTGATTTCTGAATGCTTGAGATGATCTGTTCCATGTCTCTTGAAAAACAACAACCACCACAAAAAGTGACCATGTGGGCAGTCACTATTTTTACTAGCATCCTGAGCTATGGCAGCTCTGTTATGACAATGTAGCAAGATGTCACTGGTGACTATCTGGTTCTGATTTCAGTTGGAAAGTTTTGTTTGTCTTATTGGAAAGTTTTATCTATTTCTCAAGAAAGTTACGTACTGTTCTTTATTGAAAAGCTGGCTCTAGGGTTGGATTATGACTCTCCTTTTGCTAGACCCAGACATACTTATTTAAAAGTCACCTCTGTGTCACTCTGTCAGTCTGAGCCCCTGGCATAGTGACAGGAAGAAGAAAAACAAAACAGAACAGCCAAAAATTGAACATGGTTTATATGAACATTCTGTACCTTGAGATTTATAAATTTATTTTGTCAACTATGATTAGAAATCTGTTAAAATTAAAACTAGATTAAAAAGTTAAAACTAACAACACTGGGGACTGATAATTTAAAATCTATGCATGGATAAATTTTATAATTTAAGAGTCACCCAGGTGATAATGGCTTTAGAGACATGAAGGGATTATGGGGAACAGCTAAGGGTTGCCAATGTATGGCAGGACTAGAGTTCCAAAGAAAGTCCAGTTGCAGTGGTGGACCTTAACAGTTTTTGAAGTGCCAGTGCCAGAAGCACCAGCCACAGTGAAATGGAGCAGGCTGAGATCTGGAAATCAGGCTATGTATATGCTGCCAAGGGAAGAACCAAAAAGTGAACCAGACCTCTAAAAAAAAAAAAACCAAAAAGAATATGAATGAATCCCCAGATATTGAGCTTTGGAATTGTTGCACTATTAGAGCTTGGTGTTTTCTCCCTCTTAAAATAAAAGAGGGTGCTTTATTTTGATATTACAGGAAGACATTTGAGAGATTTTAAACCTTTTATTAAGAACAGCTTTTAAGATATTTAAATTTATAAGGCTATGGCCAACTTGTCAGCTCATTTTATATATATAAAAATCAAGCCTTACTTTTCTAAAGCTGCTAGGTCTCTTGATAAGAAAATGTTTTAAGATATAAAAGTCCATGCAAGATTTGAGGATCTCAAAAAATGATTTAAGATAAAAATATTAGTTACAAAGATATAAATAGATTATTTAAATGCTTCAGATTACTTTCCCCTTCTATGATATTGTTATATTAAGATTTCAAAAGTTCAAATTTTAACATTAATAGAATTCTGATATAGTTTGTGTCACAAGCTCAAGATTTTAGATTTTCTTTGGTAGTCTTCCAAATATAAACTTAAAGGTATGAGTCTATTCCTGCTGTTTTACAGATCCATTACCTGCTTTTTCTACAATTTGGATTTCAATACTGATTGGTAATACTAATATATCTAAACCTTTTATGTCCTTTTGTAAAAAAAAAAAAGAATTCATATAAGCTTCAGAAGATCAAAAGAAGTCATAAAACTTGGATCTACTTCACAGAGGTCAAAAAGATTCCAGACAAGCACAGCAGTACAGCTTGAGTTTTCCCCACCTGTCTATTACTCAGGATGGTATTTTTCTCTCTGGAACTCCTGCCCTTCCCAATTACTAAAACTATGGGCCTAAGGTTCCAAATAAGTTCATAAATTTTAACTTCTGTTCCTAATTTGAACATGTCTCTCAACAGGTTTCCACTTGGCCGGCAGACACATCCAAGCATCAATTGCTGACTGCAACCTGCTGCAAATGACCATGAGTTCTGGACTTGTTAAAGGCTGATGTGAATCATCCCAGCCATTGTGACTGTTCCCTGTCTCTAAAGCTGGGTCAGATGCTTCTGACAAATGTTCCATTGCCTAAATTCCCTCCTTACCTTTGACCAGCCTTTCAGCCTTCCTGGGTGCTGATCATCTATGCTCTGTTTCAGCTTGAAGCAACTATAAAAGAGAGTACATCATCCCTGCCCCTGAAACAGGCTAAAAAGGCTAAGTCAAAGAGAAACTCCCTGGCTTAGGGGACAAAATGTCTACCTAAAATGCCCATTGACATACTAGGAAACTGTGCCCAGAGCTGTCAATTGATAGATTTAACTTAAATAGTTCTGCAATAACATAAGACACTTGACCTTCTTTGTACAGAACCAAAGAGGTATTATACAGCCTTAAGAAATTATTATTTCTATGTAAATCATTCAGGATTATAATCTGGTTGTACTCAAAGATCAGATCTACAGGGCCTTAAAAATGGCAGTATCACGGCCCTAGAAAAATTTGTTACACATTTCTTTTCTTTCTATTTTTCTTCTTCTCCCCTCCTCAGACCCTACCCATTTTCTCTTCCTTCTCCTCCCTCTTCCCCCCTTAGTACAACTTTCCATGTGGGTGCCACATCAGCATGGTGTGAGGGACTTTCTGCCATGCCCCCTTAGCTGCTGCCTGCTGTGTTTGCACGGTGTGTCTCCTTCACCCGTAGTGAGGCACCTTGGCTCCACCCATCAAGGCCTCTCTCTTGCTGTTTTACAAAAGTAACCCTCTATAAAATCAAAATAAAAAAGCAGATCACATACTTCCAGCATACAATGGCACAGAATTCACATTACTATTCCAAAACAAAGGAAAAGGAACAGAATGAGGGAATACTGAACCAAAGCAAGACCAAAAACCAGCAGGGCAAACTCCAAATTCTACATTTCTATGCCTGATGTCAAAGTGCTCTTCAGATCTCCAACTCCTTTCAGCTTTGTTGACTGACTGCAACACACTTCTTTCTCTTAGGCTGGTTCCACACCCAGTCTGCAGCTCTCCTAGGCAGGTATCCCATGGCTCTGACATTTCCAACATCTTGAGTTCTCTAACATAATCTAGGTTTCACCTTCATGGCTTCATGCAATGGCCTCTCTAGACCTCCATACATGAACACCCTTGACACATGTCTGGCCTCAATGGATTTCCTTATCCATGAAGAGAGATTCTACAACTTCTGTCTTGTATCCTTGACTCTAACTCTAGTAAGTAAGTACTGCTGCTTGACGGGGCTGGAACTTGGACCCCTCCTTCAATTACATTAGCATAAGCTTTTTGTTTTTGATGTTTTCCTTCACTGTTTAAGATTTTCTTGCCGGGCAGTGGTGGTGCACACCTTTAATCCCAGCACTCGGGAGGCAAAGGCAGGCGGATCGCCTTGAGTTCGAGGCCAGCCTGGGTTACAGAGTGAGTTCCAAGAAAGGCGCAAAGCTACACAGAGAAACCCTGTCTCAAAAAAGAAAAAAAATGAAATTAAAAAAAAAAAAGATTTTCTTGAATTCCTTTTCACATATTGGAAGCTTAGCTGGGTGGGGTCTTTTCCTGAGGTCACCACTCCCTTTATTCCATTAAGCATCAGG